GCCATCAGAACCACCCTCATTACTCCATGAATGGATTGATCAATTCACAAGGGCACTGTCCTAACAATCTAATCATCTCTTAAATGCCCCACCTTTCAATTATCATAAAGGATTCTCACCCTCTTAACACTGTTACAATGTAGATCAAATTTCCAATACATGAACTTCTGAGGGACACATTTAACCTTTAGTACAGTCACAAAGCCAGTAAATAAAGAAGTCAGGATTCCATCTGAGATATGTCTTATCCCAAAGTCTTCACTAGTTACTAAATTAGTAGAACTGGAAAACAAGTGTATCTGGGCAAAATAAACAAATCTACTGTGTTTCAAATAAAGTAATGTACATAAAATACAAATACTGGTATAATAAATATTTTAGCTGCTAAAAATCAAGCACCTTGAAGATTAAGCCATTTTGAAAATCTAGGTAGTTCAAAATACTAGAATCACATCATTAAAAATGTCAATAATTCAGCTGAACACCAATCAAATCACATTTGAGCCTTAGAAAATCCTAAGTCCGGGCTGACCCTGTGGCGCACTCGGGAGAGTTCAGCGCTGGGAGAGCAGTGACGCTCCTGCTGCGGGTTCGGATCCTATATAGGAATGGCCGGTGTGCTCACTGGCTGAGCACAGTGCGGACGACACCACACCAAGGGTTGTGATCCCCTTACCGGTCACGAAAAAAAAAAAAAAAAAAAAAAAAAAGAGCACAAACCATAAGCATAAAGCTCAGTGAATTTTCACAAAGTGAACTAACCCCAAGTAACCAGCATCCAGATTAAGAAAAAACCATTACCAGCATCCCTGGCACCCTGTTACGGTCACTACCTGGCTCCAAAGGCTGAACACCATTCTGGCTTCTAACAGTATAGATTAGTTTAACCTGTTTTCTTTTTTTTTTTTTTTTTACTGACCGGCAACGGGATCGCAACCCTCAGTGTTGCGCCCGCACCGGGCTCAGCCAGTGAGCGGGAACCAGTCTCCACATGGGATTCGAACCCTCGGCGGGAGCGTCGCCACACTCCCAAGCGGCACACTCTCCAGTGCGCCACCGGGCCGGCCCTAACCTGTTTTCAAACTTTATATTCTATAAATGAAATCATACAGCATATATCCTTTTGTGTCTGGCTTCTTCTGTGCAGCGTTATGTTTGTGAGATGATTCATCCATGTTATTGTAGGTCACTTTACTGCTATAGAGTATCCTACTATACGGATACTCCTCAATTTATCTATCCATTCTACTGTTGATTGACATTTGGATATTTTGATTGTCATTTCCAGTTTGGAGCTATGACTACTACTGTGAACATTCTAGTGTATATCTTTTGGAGCACATTTGTATGCATTTCTGTTGGATTTATATTGAGAAGTGAAATTGCTGGGTGAGTATGAATATGAGTTTGCTTAGTTTTAGTACTTATGCCAAATAATTTTCCAAAGTGGCTATACCAATTGACAGCCCCTCCAACAATATGTGAGAGTTCTGGTTGCTTCACATCTTTGCCAGCAATCAGTATTTTCTATCTTTTTCATGTTATCCATTCTGTTGGGTGTGTAGTGATATCACAATGTGGTTTTAATTTGCATTTCCCTGATGACTAATATAGTTGAGCACATTTTCATGTTTATTAGCCGTTGAGATCTTTTCTTTGCAAAGTGACTGTTGAAGAATTTGGACATGAGTATTTTTTAAAATATCCTTAGGTAATTCTAAATGTGCAGCCAAGGTTGAAAACCATTGAACTAAACCACAAATTAGTATCTGCTGCTCCCTTTTTCGATTTCCTGCCCTTAAACTTAGAGAATTTTGGATCTCAGGGGACTTCCTCACCCCCCACTAAGATAAGCCTACCGAGAAGAAGCAAGAGATTGCAGATGGCAGTTGAGAATCTTTAGGAATGCAGCGTCTACTTCAGAAGGGTCCAGGGAGGGCCTGTGGTATCCACAGCTGCCACAGACATTTCCTGACCACAAAAAGGGTCCCTTGCTGGTCCCCCTGGAGCCCCAGGCAATCATATGGAGGAAGTGGAGGGCCCCATGCCAGGTACTTCCCAGTTTCTAGGCTAGCCTGAACAGGACACAGCTCACGTGGGAGTTGTGGTCAAGCAAGGGACAGTGGAGCATGTGTTCTGGGGACCTGGGTGGGGCTGAGGAAAGCCTGTTGTCTGTGGTTTGTCTTGGGTGGGAGAGCAGCCGTAGGGGTCTCTCACATGGGTCCAGGCCTGGGCAGCTCCTCAGTTCTGTGGATTTGCATATGGGTTCAGTTGTCGTTTCCCTCTTCTGTAGTGGCTTCCTCTGTCCTCTGCTCAACTCTGCACCCCACCTTAGGGCCCTGCTCCAGGACCTTCCCTAGCCACTTGACCCCCCTCAACCCCTCACTCTTCTGAGCTCAGTGGCACTTAGAGAGAGCACACACTGTGGCCCCTGATGGCATGCTACCTTAATTGGGTCTCCACTGCCTCATCCGTGCTCATTTCGTCCTGCCTCCTGACTGTACCCTCATCCCAGGGAGTGCTGGGCACACTGCTGTGTGCTCCCCCACAGTGAATAAAGTGCCATTAGGTAACAGTGACAGCGTCTTCCAACTTGCAAAGGAAGAGACAGTAAAAATACAGACCACATATACAGTCAGCATTTTCCTTCCCTCAGACTTGAGCTATAGGGGTGTCAAGCTGAGCTGCCCTGCGTGGGCTCCATATTGGCATATGTGTCACATGTCGGGTTGGCAAGGAGCTACGTGCAGTGAATCTGGACTTGAACCACTCTCTGGGAACTAAGATGCTTGTGCCTGGACTGGATATGCACAAAATCCCCCTCAGGCAGAGACACAATGAGCTCTGAATGCTCTAGTGGAGCTTACCACAGTGCCCAAACTTCAATGAGAGGGGACTGTCCCATGTGCTCTTAGAAAAAGAGCAGAGTCGGGCCAAGCCCATGGCGCATTCGGGAGAGTGCAGCGCTGGGAACGCAGCAGCGCTCCTGCCGCGGGTTCGGATCCTATATAGGGATGACCGGTGCACTCACAGC